TTAGGCCAAAGATAATGCTGCCATGTCTCTAAAGCTCTTACCAATGCATACATCTCCTTGTCATAAGTAGGATAGTTAAGTGCTGCACCAGTCAATTTTTCACTGAAAAATGCAATAGGTCGCCGCTCTTGCATCAAAACAGCACCAATGCCAATACCTGATGCATCACATTCAATTTCAAAAGTTTTAGTAAAATTAGGTAAAAAGCAAGTAACGGTGCAGAAATTAAAATTTCCTTAATTAAGTTGAAAGCATTCTTCTGTTCACTTTCCCACTTAAATCCAACACTTTTTTTCACAATTTCAGTCAACGGTGCTGCAATTGTGTTGAAATCCTTGATGAATCTCTGGTAGAAACTTGCCAAACCATGAAAACTCCGCACCTCAGAAATATTTTTAGGTGTTGGCCATTCTTTAATAGCCTTAACCTTTTCTTCATTTACTGCGATTCCATCAGCTGAAACAACATACCTTAAAAAAACAATCTGATTTGTGCAAAAGGAACACTTTTTAAGGTTAGCAAATAACTTTTCTTTTCTCAACACCTCTAGTACCATTCACACATGCTGAATATGTTCAATTAAATTCTTGCTATATATCAGAATGTCATCAAAATAAACAACCACAAATTTGCCAATGAAAGCACGCAAAACATGATTCATTAATTGCATGATTGTACTAGGCGCATTAGTTAATCCAAACGGCATAACTAACCACTCATATAAACCATGTTTCGTTTTAAACGCTGTTTTCCATTCATCTCCTTCATCCTAATCTGATGATATCCACTCTTTAAATCAATTTTAGAGAATATGCAAGAACCATGCAACTCATCTAACATGTCATCTAATCTAGGAATAGGGTGACGATACTTTACAGTGATTTTGTTGACCACACGACAATCAACGCACATACGCCAAGTCCCATCCTTCTTAGGCAAGTAGCACTGGAATTGCACATGGACTCATGCTTTCTCTCACATGTCCCTTTTTCATGAGTTCTTTGACCTGCCTTTGAAGTTCTTTCGTCTCATTGGGATTGCTTCGATATGCTGGTCGGTTTGGAATTGTTGCACCAGGAATGAAGTTAATTTGATGCTTGATTCCTCTTATTGGTGGTAAACCATTAGGAACATCATCTGGAAACACATCCTTGAAGTCCTGCAAAAGAGATTTAACAACACTAGGCAAAGAATCATTAAGTTCGTTAGTGTTGAAATAAGCATCTTTATACAGAAGCACAAACATAGGCTGGTTTGCATAGAATGCAGCCTTGACATCACTTTCTTTTGCATAAACACTCACTGATTTTCTCTCTTTGTTTTCAACACTCTCAATCTTTTCTCCTTTTTGGACTCTTTTTCTGTTGTTTTCTCTTTGTTTTTCGTACCCTCAAGCTCACTCTCATTTCTCAGCTCACTCTCTTTTTTTATTCTCAGTTGATCCGCATAAACCTGCCTTGGACTCAATGGTGCAAGAGTAATTTGTTTTCCCTTCCATGATGAACGAATAGCGATTTTTGAAGCCATCATGTGTTACTCTTGTATCATATTGCCATGGTCTCCCCAAAAGTAAATGTCCAGCATGCATGGGAACCACGTGGCACAGCACCTCATCCTTATATCGTCCGATAGAGAATGAAACCAGAACTTGCTTATTTACCTTAATTTCTCCGCAATCATTTAACCATTGCAGCTTATATGGCCTTGGATGCTTCTTCATAGGTAAATTAAGCTTTTCAACCAAAACAGTGCTAGTTACATTAGTACAACTACCACCATCAATAATCACACTACATACCTTGTTTTTGACATGGCACCTCGTGTGAAATATATTGTCA